ACTGTGATATCTGACCTTTCAGATATATCTATTTTTAAAATGCCTAGTGGCATCCAAAGTTCACATGCAAGCCCGAGAAGACCCACGTTGGGGTTTGAGGAGAGAGGCCTTTCTGTGCGTACACAAAACCCAATTCATTATGTATTAATAACCCCACCCAACATGGAATTAAATTACCTCTTTTTCTATCCTAGTCTTCTTTCCTTCCCTGAACTACTTCTAGAGTTTCATATATACAAACATACAAGGCATGAGGAAATTAAGAAAGCATCTGAAGACAAAAATATTCTTTAAGAGCATAAACTACTAAAAAGCCAGTCTTTGATACACTCTTCAAAGTTGTATATTTTTCTATTAACTCAGTGGAAGTTTGTTTTCTATCCCAATGCACCCAAGAGCTCTGACAGACTCCCATAAATAATCAGGTCTCACCACAGCACTGAGTCCCCAGTGCGGAGCTGCACAGCCCTGAAGAAGGACACATAAAGCTCTGCTAGAAGGAAAGGGAGTCTACTAAAATCTAACTCTTTCTCAGCAGCCACCACCTCCTTTTCTTTGAGCACTTCATATCCATATGCTACCAAGAGCCTTTATGCTTCCTACTGGCTATACAGAATTCTTCTTCCTCTCAAGCAATGAAAGGAGTAATGGTTTTTAAGTTCCAGATTACAAGTTCCTATCACATCTGCACTATTTTCTAGCCTTGTGACCTGTTCCAGTCTCTTAGCTGATTGAAATCTCTATTTTCTCATCTATAATAGGAGATAATAAAAATTTCTCTGCCTACTTCATAAAGTTCTTGTGAAAATTAAATATTATATGAAAACTATAAATATATACCTGAAAAGCAACAAACCTGTCATTCTCTTCAAATTATTCAAATTCAAACTCAAAAAACAGAGAACACGTAAGTATCCCACCCCTTCCATGATTATATGCAGTTTAGAAGTATGAAAGACTATAGAAAATAAGGAAACAGGTTTACTCACATTTGGAAATTAACTATGGTATTAGCATTGTGGCCAGATCTAATATCTGTACTTACCTGTCTCAGAAAGCAATTTTGTAGCTTCCAGAACTTTTTCAGTATAAACCCCAGCTTCATAGTTCTCCATCTCAGCATTGATGATGTGTATGACTCGAGCTGCCCGGCCCCTGATGGCTCCCGCAGTCCGATCCAGAGTGTCCACATCCCCCTCTTGGAGGGCTATCACGCACTTGTTCACATCTTCCAAGATATGGTTTTCTATGGGAAGGACACATACATTTAGATAACTTTACAGCACCTCAGAACTTAACCATCTTAACACTGATTCCATCAACTATCATGAGCCCCTGCCTTGCTCACTACAATATATGCCTAATAATATTGAAGTGGTACTTAAAGGATATATTAGTTAATAATTATGATAGTGATTCTTAAACTTGAGCATCAGTCAGAGGGCTTGTAGCATCACACAGATTGTTGAGTGCCACTCCTAGTTTCTGATTCAGTAGGTCTGAGTTGGGACCCAAGAAGCTGAGTTTCTACCAAGTTCTCAGGTGATGCTAATGCTGCTGATTTGGGACCACATTTTGAGGACCACTGACTTAAACAACATCCCTCTCTTTGTTCAAAGTTTGAGACTTACTACATGAGATGGTCTTTTAGAAGTTGTTGTGACAGACACCACGAATTCATTCTGACCGAGTAAAACCATTTCTAAACATGACTAGAGTCAAAGCTTTGGGTGCATGTTTGTTTAATCATGTTTTTATTAAGGAAACATTTAAGGGAAAGTTCAGAATGAACGATTATCACCCAGTTAGTCTTTATAAGTCATGTCATGCTGTAAGAAAACTGATCAGGTGAAGAGAATCACAGAATTTCCCACAATTAAAATACAATCGGGTCTCATGGCTGGTTCCTCAGATCAGAGTCAAAGTGAGCATCACTCTCACGTCATTGCCCAAAGTAGAAAGCAAGCAGGCAGGAGGGGAGGCTTCATTCTCTACTGACTGAGAAAACACAGGATCCGGTCTCTTACAGTCTACCACGTGCACAATCTTGTATTTCCCATATCCAATGTGAGATCTGTAATTATGTCCCTTGAACATTCTTTAGAAACAGAATTTGAAGGAAATGTTCAAAAAGCTTAGTGCTCTATGGAAAGAAGAACAGAACTTGAGTTGAAAATACACAAACTGTAAGGGACTGAATGTTTATGTCCCCCCAAAATTTGTATTTTGAAATCCTAACTCCTGAAGTGAAAGTATTAAGCGGTGGGGACTTTGGGAAGTGATTAGGTTATGGGCAGAACTCTAACGAATGAGATTAATGCCTTCATTAAAGAGACCCCAGAGATCCCTCACTCCTTCCGTCATGTGAAATTAAAGCGAGAAGACTATGAGAAAGTGGACCCTTATCATTACCTTTATCTTGGACTTCCCAGCCTCTACTACCAGTAGAAATGAATTTCCATTGATTAGAAGCAACCCAGATTATGATTTTGTTTAAGCAGCCCAAACACATTAAGACACACATATAAAGATATATCCTTTAATAATAGCACAAGTTTAAAAATAGCCTTGAGTAACCCACAAACCTTTTAAAATTATAACTGCCAAATTCAATGAATAGTGTATAAGACATTAAAATAAATTATTACCTCTTTAAGAAGTTTTTAGGGCTAGTTCTAATTTTAAAGTTCCGAAAGAAGGAAAGATGGGAGGGTACCCAGAAAATGCCAGTCTTCACTAGGGATCTCTCTTTCATTAAACTAAGCACTCAGAGGAAATATTTGTTCTTTTAGGACATTGGGTAGAAAAATCACTAAGTATAATTGAGTTTTCAAAAAGAATATCCA